GATTACAAGATCGTATTTTTTGTTATCTATTTCACAATTGTGTAAAACGATTGTTTGTTTATTTCCTAGGTTTTTAAATGACATAAGGTTTAGGATGACGGATGCAAAAGGTTGTTAAATGGTTTCTATTTTCTTAAACTGTTAGTTCTTACGATTTTTTGGTTAGCTTAACCTGGGTCTATTTGTTCAGGGTTGGAGAGAAAAGTATATCGATTCCGAAGAATGATTTTTTACTTTCTCGTGGCTAGTATAAGTTAAGGTGTTAACTTACTTAATCTTACTTAGGGGTAGTGATTGTGTTCAAGGGTTGGAGAATAGTAAATCGATCCACAAGGTTCAGGTATAATTAGAACGCGAGTAGTTCGTTAGATACTATTTTAAACTTACTAAGTCTAAGATTTATCCTGGGTCTGGTAAGAGGGGTGGTCAAGTGAAGGATGAATAACCGAAGTTCTTCACTGTTTATCCTAATTTGAATGATTAGTTTTGTTTAAAAATTTCTATTAGTCTTAGGTCTTTAGAAAGGGTTGGGTAGTGAATCGACGTTTGAGGTCGTTAGACACTAATTAAGTGGGTGGGGGAGAACAAAGTTGTTCTGTTTGATCCAAGGATAAGCCTTGATGATCAAATTTGAAATTTAATTAAGTAGAAAATGATTTAAGATCCAAGGATAAGCCTTGATGATCTGGTTTTAAAATTAAGTGAATTTAAGTTTTAATAAAATTTTAAATGTGTGTAAAGGAAAGATTTAGTGTTTTGATGATATTAGTGGGTTTATGATTGCTGTTATGTTTTAGATGATGGAGCTGGAACAACAGGATGATTTATGATTACTAACCATTTATTGTCATGCTACTAATTTTTATTTTTATTTTTTAATAAATATTTTTCAAACATGTTTTGTATATTACTGCAGAGTTTTAGGAAAACGATCTTAGATCTTTTTATCAATCGTTATTGTATATTAATAATTTTGTTTAGCGCCTGAAATGATTTTGAAGATTAACTTCAAGGTTTTATGTTTGCAAATGAAAATCTAAATTCATTGCCAGTAGTATTCTAAATATAAAAGTTTGTTCTGGTTTTTGCCTAACTATCATATAGCTATATGGCAAGTTTCTACTTTGTCGTATGTCGTCTCTGGTTCGAGGTCTTCTTCCAATTCCGGGTAGTTCTGTTATGGTTCGGAATATTGGCTCTGATCTATTGAGTCGTAGAGACATTTCGATTAAATTATTGTCGTATAACATTTTGTAAATGTTTTTGTCTAATTTCTAATCTATTTTGGTTAATTCTAAGCTATTAAGGTCTTGTTCGAGACTTATGGTCGCACCAGATGAGTTAGGACCGAGTTGGTTAACTCATAGAGTAATTTCGGATAGGGTACACCGTCTGCTCGTCACGCTATCTTATTTTCGGCCGGATAGATTCGTGCAACTTCTTAGTCTAATACCGATCCTAATCTTACTCTTATACTATCTAGTCTCAGGTTGTTTAACTAGTCTCTGCTAGGCTCAATAGATCTAGGGTATACTGGTTTATTGCGGTTGCTGAAGTGCTCGGGAGAGTCCAACTAATTTCTAAGTTAAATTCAAATCTCTCTGGTGCTGAAATTACAAGTAATTTCAGCACTTACAAATAAGTGGGTTGTTAGTTAGATGGATCATGATTGGTTAATATTAAATACTTTACATTGGTAAAATATCTAATTTATCCAATCATAAAATGTAGTTTAGATCAGGTTCCACTCATTTCATTTCGGTTTTTGCGAAAAACACTGGACTGTTGGCACTGTTGCCGAGCTAATTGATTATAAAAAGGACCCAAAAAAGCGTTGTGTTTGGCCTGAAAAAAAATTTCATGATGCTGATCGTAATGTTTCATTGCAAAAAAGCCACGGTATCCAAGGGCCAACCTCAAAATCACTAGAAAACGATTGGAGGAACAGAATGGAATGTATGGACTCTGCCTGTGTTGAATCAGAAACGCTTTTTGTGTCTCGTGGTATACCGCAGGGATCTGTGCTGGTCCTTTTTCTTCAATTAATTTGTATCAATAAACTGAAATTGTCGGCTTTAAGTAACACTGTTATACCTTATGCAGATGATAAATCTCTGATTTCTAATCAAGAAACTAGTCATCTAGAAAACCAAAATAGAGTAGGGCTTGGCTGAGCTCTAATAAAAAAACGTTGAGCAAAGTTAAATAAAAAACAAATGATACAACTCGGAAACTCTTCCCATCCGCTGCAAATGGACGGCCTTCAACTCTTTGTTGGTTGATTTGGCAAAGATCTATATATATATTTATATGTCTTGTAACATTTTTTAAAGAATTCTTAGAAAATGTATGCAAAACTGGTAGCAAAACTGGTAAAATTGACCTGACGATTGCGTAAATTTTTGAGCAATTTTTTGATATATACATGAGCTGAAAGCATAATACGGCATCTTAGTTTTTATGTGTCAACAATGCTTCCCTCAAATTAGGAAGTTTTCCGAAATCGTAAGTTCTTAAGATTCATAAATTATAAACAAAATTTTTTTGACAGATTTTTTTTCTATGAAAATAATATGCTGGATGTTTAAAATTATATGTTAACTTTTTACTAAATATTGTTCTCAAAAGTTTGAACAAATCCATTTTAATGTTTTTTTTTGAAAACTGATCAAAACCGATTCACGATTTAAAAAAACTGGTTTATCAGTTTAAGTTTTTTAAACCATATTTTACAAGCGATAAGGATACATTCAACTCCTTACTTAATCGTGAGAAACAAATACTTAATCTATTGGCTCGAATTGAACTGACTCCTTCCGAACTAAAGCTTACATTGCATTCAGAATTACGTTCGTAAATTATAAAAAAATATATATTTTAGAGTTTTAAGATCCACTCATACACTGTAATTTTTAAACCTGCTTTGAATGAACATTACTTAAAACTACCGCAGAGCTTTACCCGCACAGATCGCCCATGGATTCTAATCGATTATAATGGATTCCCGAGACAAAAATAATCGATTATAATCCATTACGGATGTAAAATTCAGACCACGAAATCGATTATAAAGCCATTATAATCGATTATTTTTGAACAAATATAATCCATTATAATCCATTATAATCGATTATAATCCATTATTTTTGTCACTGAAATCGATTTTTTGTTGCCAAGGTAATCCATTATAATCGATTATTTTGAAATGAAAATCCATTATAATCCATTATAATTTATTATAATCCATTTCATTTGCAAAATTTTGCAAATTTTGCGAGAAGTTTGCAGAACTTATGCCATCTTTTACTAAACGCCATGTCTCAACTTCGTCCCCTCGCTCCCTCGCCCCCTCATGCTTTTTACCCCCCCCCCCAATTAAAGGGGCAGGGTAAATTGGGAGGAGGTGTGTAAACTGGGGGGTATAAATTGGGGGGGGGGGGGGGCTGTAAATAAATCTGGGGGGAGGGGGAGTAAATAAACCGAGCGGGGTGGGGGTAAATAAACCGGGGGAGGGGGCCCTCGAGCTTTCTTAACCAACCCCCCCTCTCCCAGCTAAAGGGGCAGGGTAAACTGGAGGGGGGGTTGTAAATGGTGGGAGGGGGGGGGGAAACTTTACTGGGGGGGGGGGGGGATAGTAAACTGGTGGGTGGTAGTATACTGGGTACTGGGGGCTTAACTGGCTGGGGGGGGGGGTTAAATTAAGTGTTAAACTGCGATGAATTAGAAAAAGTAGAGACACAAATTATATAAACTTTTTTCTTAAATGTAACATTTTATGAAACATAACGTGTAGCAACTACACTAAACAGGAAATGAGATAATTTTGAACAAAATTGTAAATTTCAAGAATAACACCTCGAAGAAAATCCATTATAATCGATTATAATGGATTTTATTGGGATAAAAAATATTAGGATTATAATTCATTTTTAATGGATTATAATCGATTATTTTGTCATTTTATAGATGCTGATCATATTATGACAATATAATCGATTATGATCCATGAGTGCTCGGTGCGGGTAGTTTGCTGCTTTTGTTTCTTTGTTTTCTAATTATAGCCAGTGGATGACATTTTAATTCTAAAAATAAACATATCATAAATCATTTGAGAACTATTTAGTCGCTAGTTGTTTGCTGTGATTGTTCTTGCAACTCAAGTTCACTCCGTACAGGTGTGGGAACAACCATAACATTTTCTAGTGTCTTCTTTTCAATTATTTTTTTTGTTCCGAGCATTGAAAATGGGGAGGAATTTTGTATTTGAAACTATTTTACAGTGTTTTGTATTTGCTTTCCACTCAAAATCAGGTATCACAAAAAATCAAATAATCATCGGACTGGGTTGAGTGATATAGCATAAAAAAGCCCTTTCAGTCGTGATTCGAGCGACGATAAAAATATCCAAAAAAATTCTGTGTCGAGAAAAACCGGTTTGAGAATTTTGATTTTTTCGTCTTACTTCAAGCGAATAAAGCAAGCGAGCATGCTTACATGCTGAATAATGCCTAATTCAAAAATTTAAAACTTAATTGTAACCAAAAACTTTCAAAAAATTCAAAAATTTTGAAGCTTTTAAGGGCTGTCTTCCATTAAGTAATTTCATATTTTTTTGGCGCTCCGTTTCTGGGCTTACGTCAGGTTTTAGCTTATTGACATCGTTGAATATTTTTATGCTGAAATGTTTGAAGAAATGTTTAGTTTAAATTATTAGCAGCGCTAGAGATCAAAAAATTACAGTGATTTATTGTTGACATAAGAGCTCGCAAGGAGCCTCGCTTGATTCATATCAACCAGTCGTTTTCGCTTCGTTCTTTCCGCTTTTACAACTTAGAGTAGGAATCAGAGGACGACAACCAGCTGATCGACTCATTTCATTACCATAGGATGTATTAGTGATAATTGGTTCCATTGGACAGTTTTAACTGATACTATCTACACTAGCTGATATCTAGTATCGGTTAGCTCGATAAAGTATAACATGGTTTATTGTGTTACAGCAGACTAACTACCGACTGAGGGACAAGTACGACACGCTGCTGTCAATCACGTGTACAGATGCAGATGCCGGTCAACTGGGCACAGCTGGCATCGACTTCTCAATGGTGGTGACGTCATCGGCACTGCTGCCAGACAGGACTGCTCCGGCTGCTCCATTCGCCATATCGACCGGATCTAACACTGGTAAAAAGACACAGACATTCTGAATCGAAAAGCCAGTGGAATGAAGCCAAAAAACTGCCCCATCTATTCAAATTTTAATTGAAAACGACCCCCCCCCCCCACACTCTTTTCCTCTCCACTACCCCGCAGCTTGCTTGAAACCCCCCATTTAAAGCAGAAAAGGATTAATTGGAGCCGTTTTTGAAAGGTAGGCACACATTCAATATCCCAAACCTTCTCAGTCTTGCTTATAGACGGTTATCTATATAAATCTCGATTACATTTCGAATCTGTAGAAAACAGAAGCCAATATAGGACTATCGGTGTTTAGTCAGCAGCAGCAGCTGAGGTTTTTCAACAGAAAATTAAACTAGCAGCTTGTTTGTAAATTTCTTACTCAGTTTTCTGAGTGGACATCCCTCCATACAATAGTGTTGTAAAGTATCTCCTGTTCTAGCAACAATCACAACATCCTCAACTACAGCTTTGAACTGGGAGGACGACGACACTGATTACATCATCCAGGTGTTGGTCAAGGACAACAATGGAAACGTACCCTGCAGGACCACCTATCTTTACGTTCCGGTGGTGCTTCGAGATGTCGACGAACTCCGACCAATTTTCACTAATCCGGGCGTTGCTACCGCTTACAAGAAGACGGTCACTTTCGCGGATACCGGAAGCGTCGGGGACACCGTGACAACAGTGGTTGCTGACCAAAATCCCTCCGATAAATACGACAGCGAAGTATATAGTATTGTGAGTATCACAGCGACAACGGGAGGTCCCGCCACAGGAAACGAGTTCGTGATCGTGACCGACATTGACGACTCTGGCGCTACTCTCGATTACCCGACAGTTGGGACACTGTACCTGAACGAAGCCCTTGATTTTACCCAGAAAGCACGAGTATACGAAGTGTTGATAAAAGCTACAGATACTTTCACAGACAGTACGAGAACTATGCAGACAGCGACAGTGACAGTTTCGGTTACAGATGCAAACAACAATCTTCCATTTTTCGATCCAGCTCATTATCACAAGAGTTTCCCGGAGAACACGGCTGTCAACACGCCAGTGGTCACAGTCTCAGCAACCGACTACGACGCAACAGATACGCTCACTTATTCCATAACGGATGACCCCTGCAACTACTTTGCCAATACGAACAATGCCATCTACTTCGACACAGCGCCAGACTTCGAAGCCAACACTTTCTGCACAATTGAGGTGGAGGTTACGGATGGGACGAATAAAGCATACACTGAGGTCAGTTTATTCTACACTTTTTCATTAAAAAAAAACAAGACAAATCATGTTTTGTCTGGTTTACCAAATTTTGTCTGAAAAAAAATGTAAAAAGGTCTTTAGTCAAATTATATTCCAATAGTGAATCTAAAAAGAGCCGAAAAATTTCTAACAATTTGACTGAGCTTCTTTCTTAGACGCATGACAGTAGAATTATGTCAGAAACTGTCGGTTCTTTCCAGATCACAGTGAGGATCAGCCCCGTGAACGAGTTCGACCCCGAGGACACTGGCACTGTGACTACTTTGACGGTGGACGAGGACACTCTAGTGGGCACAGTAGTGGGCAGTGTTGTGGGGGGCGAGTCAGGCACAGGGGACAAAGCGGGCACCCCCCACGCGGACATTGTTTACAGGTCATTTACTCTTTTGAACTTGAACATTTAAAGAACTAAATGCATCTTTTTGGTTATACCTAAATTTTCAACAAAAGAGACTTCATTTTTTCAAAATTTTGAAAAAAAATTCCCGAAAAAAAAGAATTTTTTACATAAGCAACCGGAAAAATTTAAGGCCTTCCTTTTAAACCAATTCAAGATTTCTGCATCATTTTTCAATTTCTGCGCTATCATTGTACCTGCTGTGTAGAGTTACGAGCCAGACTCCGGGGGGATATTTCTCAGTTGGGTACTACTCAGGGGACATCATGCTGAGGGCCAATGTCAGTTCAGAGAACGGTGAGTCAACACCCCCTCCCTCCCAAGGGACCACCGGCAAATGTGGAAGCAGAAACTGAATCGGCAAATATAAACCCCCTTGCATTGAAGCTATCGGGAGGTGTTTACTTAAAACGTTGCCGGAATAAACCTTCAAAAAATGAAGCAAGTCGAATAGTTTCGACATGACTAGGTTCAATTCATTTAAACGTGATAGAGGTGGGCGGTAAACACTGATTAACATGCATAAAACATTTCATCGCGAAAGTCAGCGCAGCGAAGTGAAGTCCAGAAAAAAATTCAGTACAAGCCCAATTCAGGATTTTATATATTTTAGGCTAATGCAGCGTCTTAAATAGTGGTTTTTCTGTAGTCTACTTTTTTTGCCCTGAGTCTCCCGATCTTGAAAAAACGACGGTTGTTGTAAAGAATCTCGACAAAAATTGTGCGTTTCATAAATGAGTAGAGAATAAAGTGTATTTAGTAGAAGCCAAAAATATTATGAAAACGAACTTCAATTTTAAAAATGGCATAAAAGACTTCGCACCGAATTAAAAATGAAAATTGTTATGTTTTCAGTGACCTCTGTGACCCTTGAGGTGGAAGGTTGTGACCTTGACTACAGCTTCAACCCCGACAACTGCTTCGCCACTGCCACCTCTATTGCCATCACCATCGCAGACGTGAACGAGTTCGCCCCCAGGTGCATCCCCTCCCACATTGTGAAGCGGTGGTCCGAGAACTCAGCAGTCACGCCCTCCGGCAGAGATGTGGCTGACCTGGACGACTACTGTGTCGACCCAGATTCCACCAATGCCGCCCTGTCTTACACTTTTGTGACGTCACCCTCGGGCCAGTTCATTCTCACTGGGAGTGTGATAGAGACTGACTCGGTGCTGGACTTCGAGACCACTCAGGACTACTTCATGACAGTCGAGGTCAAATTGAACTTCAACTCAAACTAAATTGCTTTCTCTTCTAAACTACGTAACGTATAAGCAAACTGTACAAAATGCACAACGTTTGCAGTACAGCTGTTTCTTAGGTCTTAGGAGCATCAAAAAATCGTTCAATAGTTTCAGATAAAATTGCAAAAATTTTCTGAATACCGAATCTATGACATAATTCATTGATATTTTAATTGGGTTAGTTGTTAGTTTTTACAAATTAACAAGCAAAGATACCACTTAGTCTGAGAGAGAGAGAGAGAGAGAGAGAGAGAGAACTCAGTTTTTTCATCTGATGACGTGCAGGTGTCGGACGGGACTCTGGTGTCGACAGTGACAGTGAGTGTGGAGGTGCTGGACTACAATGACAATACTCCCACAGCAGACAGTCCAGTCCTCACGCCTGCCACTCCCTCTCTGGACGAGACAGTCCCCATTGGCACACTCGTCACAACTGTCTCCTTCACAGACGACGACGACACCAACTACGGAAACGGTACTAGTAAATGCTTTATACATACACTCACTTAGACATACAGATTGTGTGACCTTATAATATCTCTAACTTTATAATACGACTTAATATTTAATGATTATTCAATTATGCCAACCGACATATATATTCAATGCTGAAATTACAAAGTACTGGCGAGGACTTTCACCGGACATTATTCGCAAAATTCGGTAACTCGTAACAGTAATCAAACCTTCTTAACTTTCTAGTTTTTTCTCCACATAACATGAATCATAAGACCCAATAACGGTTACTGAAAAAAAAGATCTATAAACTATAAAAAGTTGTGTCGAAAAGTGTAAGTTTGAAGTAATATTAACTTTATTATACATAGGTTTCTTATTATTCCTTATATTTTGCGCTGTTCATCTGGTTTGTGTGTTGTGTAGGTAGAGTGATGTACTCGTTGACCTCGGGGGACACAGAGTACTTCTCCCTTGACCCCCAGAGTGGCAGAGTGTACACTGCTGCACTGCTCAGCTACTACGACAACAACAACCCCACTGTACAGGTCAGCACACCAAACAATGCAGTATCATTTTGAAAAATTAAAAGGGCGGATACTGGAACCAGATCTAAACTAGTATTTATCATTGATTATTATTATGATATTTTATCTCTATAAAATATTAAAAACTAACCAATCATACTCCATCAAACTAACAACCCACTTATTTGTAAGTGTTGAAACTACTTGTAGTTTCAACACCAGAACAATTTGAATTAAACTTAGAATACAGTTGTTCTCATTCTGGAACTAACTCGCGTAAACCGGTGGTTACTAGATCTTTTGAGACTAGGAGATATAAGAGTAAGATTAGGATTGGTATTAGACTAAGAAGTTGCACGAATCTATCCGGCCGAAAATAAGATAGCGTGACGAGCAGACGGTGTACCTTATCTGAAATTACTCTATGAGTATAACCAAAAGGATATAGCTCAATACAATCACACAAAACGAATAAAAAAACCTAATTTTAGACTCTATCCCGCATTTTTCTCTGCAATGCGATTTTCGTAGCTTGAATAAACTAATTTGCTTGTGTAAACTACATTAAATTGGCAAAAGTTTGGATTTTTTGAAATTTTTTATCCAGATTCCCCCTATTAAAATCCTTTCAAAATCCTATATCGCTCTTGTTCTCAAATCATTTTCCGGAAAAATTGGTCTATCTGAAAATACTACGGATGATTAGTTTTGTCACGATTACCATTCGAACCCAATCCAATCTATGCTTGTTCGAGGTGACTGCGTGCGACTCTCCCTCTGTGGACGCCCAGCTGTGTGCCGCCCCCCAGACAGTGTCTCTAACAGTGGGAGATGTGAACAACTTCCCCCCTGTCTGCACTCTGCCCACCTTCCATTTCACGCAGGACGACCAGTACGCCGCAGACACCACCATTGGAACACTATCTGGTAACTATCTAGTCAGGCAAGGATTCAGGACTGGGGGAGGAGGGGTGTTGGTTAGGTCTGCTAGCTCTCATCAGAAATTCTGGTTGAATGATTAAACTTTCATAAATTCGGATAAGTCTAGACCTGCCATTTGCCCTATTTAAAATTGGCCAATTGAGATGTTCCGAATGGCAAACTCTTGGGATTTAAAAAGAATCGCAGAACGTAGAAATTTTTAAAAAAGTGAGTCGTAGATTTCAGCTCCAAGAAATAGGGCTCTGTTGATTTTAATGCCACTATGTGACAAAACACCTTCCATGTAATAAAACTACAGACTACAAGTAACTGTTTAACCATGTGAACATCTGTTCATGACTGTCTAGGCTGTTCGGACCAGGACTCGGCCACGAATGGGAACAATGTGCTGCAGTACTCGGTGGTCTCAGTCTCCCCCTCCCTCCCTTCTGGTTCCTCCTTCTACATGGACTCCAGTGGGCCAGACCTCAAGTACGACAGTGTGCTGGATCTGGAAGTACTGCAGAACAACACTTTCGAGATACACATACAGGTATGTACAATGTATACAATGCTTGTAAAAAGCATTTAAGCTTGTTTAATAATTGTAATAATTCATCGAAATCGAGGAGAAAGTTTATACATATTAACGAGTGTAATTATTTATCTGGGAAGTTATCACAAGTTAACGAAGTCTCTCGGATAGTTGAACTCGGTAGTTCTTTGAATTCGATTTTTAATAGAAACTCTGGTCAACAGCTTGTTAACTTTCATTTAAAAAGCTTCTTCGACAATCTGTATCTGAAACATGGCAATTAACAAATTGAGTGAAAGAAAACATCCCATTGTCTTGAATCAGGTGACAGACTCCGCCTCGGGCGCGGAAGGTCAGCTGACTTCATCAACTGACATCAAAGTGCTGCTGGCCATCACAGATGTGAATGAGGAGCAGATCTACTTCAGTCCAGATGTGGCCACTGACTCCATCACAGTCCAGGAAGATGTCTGCTGTTCCTTTGAAGGCAACAGGACCTTCATCCACACCTTCACAGCCAGCGATGCGGACTTCACTCATCTGGGTGACCACTCCCAGTTCACATGGCTGTTGACTTCTGGCAATGGTCTCAAAAAGTTCGTCTTGGAGCAGGGGGAGAACTGGAATGAAGCCAGACTGCTACAGGTAATTAATTAGAGTAATCAGGGATAAATTAAAGGTCAACTTAGGTTTGGCGGCTAATTAGTAACAACAGCACGCTTGCTTCGTGAGGTTGCCTTGAGAAGGTTCAAGTTTTATGGCCCTAAGTGAAAAATAATATTTATGTATTGAGTTAGGACCGAGTTTGGTTAACTCATAGAGTAATTTCGGATAGGGTACACCGTCTGCTCGTCACGCTATCTTATTTTCGGCCGGATAGATTCGTGCAACTTCTTAGTCTAATACCGATCCTAATCTTACTCTTATACTATCTAGTCTCAGGTTGTTTAACTAGTCTCTGCTAGGCTCAATAGATCTAGGGTATACTGGTTTATTGCGGCTGCTGAAGTGCTCGGGAGAGTCCAACTAATTTCTAAGTTAAATTCAAATCTCTCTGGTGCTGAAATTACAAGTAACTTCAGCACTTACAAATAAGTGGGTTGTTAGTTAGATGGATCATGATTGGTTAATATTAAATACTTTACATTGGTAAAATATCTAATTTATCCAATCATAAAATGTAGTTTAGATCAGGTTCCACCCATCCGGGTTTTACAGAGTTTTTTAGAATAGTTCTTCTGCAATTCGAAGGATGGATGATGGACGTTGGTGTTTGGCGAACATCTTATTTCTTCTGTTTCCTCTTTGTTAAAGAAGTTCCAGGAAGCTGGAGTTAGAGACATAAGACGTTGTGTCTTCTAGTGACAACGACTAAGTCTTTGCAACAAACTCAAATCTGATTTCAGAATGGTTTGCTATGTCAGGTTTTTCTGTTCTGCGTGGAGAACTTCTTTTGTGTCTGATCTAATTTGGGAATGGCGTGGAGATTGTGCGTGGAGGGGATGCCTGGTTACTCGGATCTGTACGTATACTTGAACATCGAGGTGGTCATTGGTCTAGTTCAATGAAGTCCTTTTCTGCGAAGTCAAGTCGTACTCTAAATCCTTTGAGTTGTGATTGTGAGTGGCATATCGATTGTGGTTGGCCATTCTCTCTCGAGTGTAGTGGGGTCGTTTTGTCTTTAGATGTTCGTCCTTGGTGTTGTATTCTGATCTATGTATTACATAATGTAATTTACATTTTATAAAACATTTATTAGTTTAATATTTTTTAATTATGATTTTAGTTAGTTGTTTTCACAAAAGCTTTTTGTTTTAGTTCGGTTATTTTGAAGAGTTACTCACACTTGAGTAGCTCTTATTAAAAATAGAGGTGTGGTCACAAAGCGTGGATGTAGCGCGGTGGGTTAGGCCGGCTATAGAGCATGCTCAGGACGTCCTTCCTGGTGGGTTAGGCCAGGAGTGGGAGTATGATTTCATGCAGTTTTTGTGAGGGGTCCTGTTATGTGACAACGTTTTATGTTGGGTTTGTTGTGGTTTTTCTTATGTCTTGTTGGTTATGTCCTTTTTCCAAAAAGCAAATTGTTCGTGGTATGGGTTTGTCTTTCGACTTTTTTGTGTTTTATTATTTCTTTCTTAGACTTTATAATAGTCTTCAAAAGAATAAATTATCCAGTTTTAAACTGGGTTAATCCGGTTTGGGTACCGTTGGTTTCCTTTTCTTAGTCATGCTGTTATTCTATGATTTGTGGTATTTAGTAAGCTGCGTTGGTTAGTTTTGTTTAGTATATGATTCTTTTCCAACCGGGTTAAAGTAAAGTTTGAAACATGTTATTATATGTTAGAGTTGTTGAGTGTGAAAACTTGAAACTGAAATTCATTATTTTAAACAATTCTTCGTGGGCGAGCTGTGCGAGTGTGGATAGAATTTCTGTGCGAATGAATGAGAATATCAAAAGGTTAGTACTGCATTTGCATTTTATTAATTTACTGCATAGAATTTGGAAATTTACTGCTAGTTATGGGGGAATTTTAAGTTACAAATTTTCATCATAATTAGATTTACTGCTTGTGGGGAAAATTTTAGAAATGAATTTACTGCATTGGTATTAAATTTATAAATTTATAAGTGTAAGAGATTAATAGAATTGTTGAAATCTGTTTGATGAAATTTGCGATCTTTATTTGTTTTTTGTGGTTTTTGTAGGTGATCGTCGGATGAAGGCTAAAAATCTAAAGAAAACATGGATAAAGTATGGTGAGTTTTTTAATATTTTAATTAGTTAGTAATATTCATTTAATTCATACTTACCTGTTAGTCGTCGGGGAAAAAACCGTGGGGGAAGATGTCGTGGATTAGTTCTGAAGTTGTTAGTAGTTTAGCTAAGATGCGGATGATATTTTTAGTCTGAAGCAGTGGCCAAAGCAATTGAAGTGCCTTAATAGTGGTTAGTTCTTCAGTGCCAACTGCAAACTCATAAGGTGTGTTTTGGATTAGATTATATAATTTGTGATTGAATTTAGTGTTGTGGATGAATTCTAAAATTGGGATTTCTATAGGTTGTACAAACTCGTGCGGGATAAGGAAGGGTCGGGATTCTTCGGCGTTGAAGGTCTTGGTGATGGGACAGAAGATGTACATTTGGGTTATGGGATCATAATTGCGAAGAATACCATGAAGGTTAGTATCTTTAATGCAATATGTGAAATTTAGGAAAAATGGTGAAGTGTATTTGGAATTAATGAATTGAAAGCGATGGTGTGGTTGTCTAGAGGGTGTGTGTAGGTCAAAGTGATTTTGGATGAAGCGATAATAACTATATGTGTGGGTTTGTTTAGTGCGCAACATAATCTCGTGTGAGCAGTGTAAATCTCTTTCGTGTGGTGCAAGGAAATGAAAGGTTAGTGAAAATATTTGGAAGCGTTCTTTGAAACTTTCGTATGCTTGTGTGTCTGTTAGTGCTTCTGAAATAATGTGATCAAACTTTCGGTCGAAGATGTTTAGTGTAAATATATATGGTGTCTTGATGAAAAATTTCTCGGTAATTTGTGGATTAGCGAAGCGATCGTCGTCTAAGAATTGATCTTGGTTAGCTCTGATGATGTTGTGATCATAGTATTCTAGTGTATATTCGTTAGCTCTAGGTGCAGTGTGTGTTTTTAGTGATTTTTTATATCCAACGTAAGTAAATTGTCTAGCGGTTAGTGGTGTAGTGAGTCGATATAGCATGTCCGTATTTCGCTCTATATCGATGTGAGTGTTAGATAAAGGTAAGCAAAGAGGGTTAGTAAAATGATAATATGAGGTCCAAGAGAGAGTGGGCATTAAAACGTATTCATCTACAAAGTTGCGTGTTTCGTTAGTGTCGTGGGGGGTGTTTAAGGTGTATTGTGGGAATGAGGGTAAGGTGATGGCTAAAAATTCTTTTGTGTTAGTATGCTTGGGGTGGTTGATGTATTCGCGGGCTGTTCCTGGTTTTGCTGGGAAAGGATGGTTGCGGAACTTTCTTTTAAAAGTGCGGTAAGCTCTATTAGTGTTAAGTGAAGATTCAGTTGATGTTGATGATGGTGCTAATGATTCAGTATAATTTGAAGAGGGTGTAGGGGTAGGGGGATTGGATGAATTGATTGTGGAGGAGATTTGGTTTATTGTTGGGGTATGTAGGTGGTAGGGTTGTTGTTGAAGGGTAATAAAATTATCTAGCTCTGGGGAGATTCGGGGGGTGTCTGGAGAATGAGATGATTGGTCAGAATGGTATGAGGAGTAGGTTGGGGTAACTTGGGAAGCATAAGAGGGTGTGGGAGTGATTGGGTCAGGGTTATTGGATAATATGGGTTGAAAAGGGGGTTGAGAAAAATTAGAAGAATTATGAAAATTATTGGATGGGGATGGTTCTGAGTCGGCAAATTCATCGGGGGTTTCAATATTCGGGTTATTGAGTTGTGAGATGGAATATAAAACTGAGATGTGTGAATTAGTGTCGGAATTCATGCCTGATGTTACATTACTAGATGGAAAATCGGGTGGCGGAAAAGCAAAAAGTGGTATTATTGGGATTGGAGAGGTAAGATTGGTTGGGTGGGAATTTGATCGGTGTAGTGATCCAAGTTGGCGGCTCATCGTGGGCTAAAAAAATGATTATTTTGAGACTGAAAAGCGGTGGTATGGGGTTGTTCAATAATTTGTTCATAAGTATTATCATCTTGTGACTGTTGTGTCATTATATGTTGGATGGGACTTTGTGATGTGGTGAGTCGAAAATTTGGATTATGTGTGATGGCTAAATTTCGAAAATTTCGTGGGACTAGGGATAGTGGGTGGTTATTTGGTAGGGGTGGTAATTGTGGTGCCGTTGGCGTTATGTCTACATTGTTATGTTCTTCGTCGTATGTATTTTGTCGTGTTGCTATTTTTGTGTTATATTCTTTTATTTGTGCGTCTAAAAGAATTTTGTTTATAGATGTAGAAAAGATTCCAAAAAATCCTGCAAAGAGTATGCGTGCTACGCTTGCTTGTCTGTTTACTTGTGTGTGTATAGCACATGTGTTGTAGATTCCTTTTAAAAGTGAGAAAAGAAATCCAATAAAGTTAAACATTGCGTATAAAATAGTCAATTTTTCTAAGATGTAATAGGGCCATCCTAGAAAATCGAGGATCTCATTTTTGAGTGTAACAAAGCTAAAAATGTTAATTGGTGATATATCTTGGGGACGGTATTTTTCACCGTTTAGATATATATAATCTTTAATGTCTTTAAAATATCCGCTATAGTCTTGCGTGTAGATATCGGCAAATCCTGCGGTTTCTGCAAGTTTGCGTAAATTTTGGTCTATTGATTGTCTTTGTATAGTGTCCATTTGTGTTAATAATTCTTGGAATTGTTGTGTTCTAATGTGATGTTGAATATCTGATTTTGAATAGATTCCTATTGATTGTAAGTCTATATTTGGGTTTCGAGCAATAGCGCGAATGCTTTCTGGTGAAAATTTTTTGAGTGATTGCATTAATGTGGGATATGGAGTGAGAAGATAATATTTATTTTCATCAGGGTTTAGTTGTACTACATTCTGGCTGTTTTCTGATCCACATGGAACTGCGGTATCCCAGAAATAGGTTCTTCGTGAAAGTGTGTCAACGAAATGTAC